GCTTCCGAGCGATTTGGGTATTGAACGACAATGGGGGGGGGGGGGGGGGGGGGGGGGGGGGGGGGGGGGGGGGGGGGGGGGGGGGGGGGGGGGTTTTTTTTTTGGGGGGGGGGGGGGGGGGGGGGGGGGGGGGGGGGGGGGGTTGGGGGGTTTTGGTGGAGGGGTTTTGGTGGAGGGGCCAGGCTTCCTGCCATCCTTCCGCGGGGATGTCATTGTCGAAGGGCACATGGAAGGAGGGTGGTTGACCGCCCTCCAAATCCCGCCGACGGTGACCTATAAGACACCGTCGTTTCGATGGAGGATTTGTGGCACTGTCGTGGAATGGACTGCGTTCTCGCCATACTGTCTCCTTCTCACCATGTACCATTCTCGCCGTCCACCCTTCTCGCCGTACTATCGCCTTATCGCCATACTGTCGCCTTTTCGCCGTCCACCTAAGGCTTCTCGCCATACTATCGCCTTCTCATTGTGTACCATTCTCGTCGTCCACCCTTCTCGATGTACTATCGCCTTCTCACCATACTGTCGCCTTCTCGCCGTGTACCATTATCGTCCCTTGTCGCCGTGCTATCGCCTTCTCGCCGTCGTCGTGCCTGCGTTCGCAGCGACGTTAGAGTGCGTGGGACTCGGTGTGATGTCGCTTCCATCGTCGACATCGACACCTTTGACGCAAGGGTCATCGACGTCATGTGCGGTGGGCGGAGGAGGTCTATGGGATCAGTCGTCATTGAACCATTGTCGTGTTCTTGTATAGTTTTTGTTGTCGTTTTTTTTTTTTTTTTTTTTTTTCTCATCTGTTTAATATTCTTTCTTCCGACCGGACAAATCGATATTCGTTGGTGGTCAAGCGAACATCCTTCCATGTTATCATCTTAATGAATTTGACAGTTGTGCACTGCTTTCGTTGTCATTCCATCCTTGCGCTGTGTGAATGCAAATATGAGCGGGGATTGATTTTGTCCAAATATTGAATGGTGAAGGTTGATGGCGAGAAATCCTTACAACGAACTCTCTTTTCATCCTTGCGATTTTATTTCATTCAATCCTTGCACTTTCTTTCACTTCTTCATCCTCGCACTTTGTGGATGTAAATGTGAGTCAGGATTGATTGGTACAGGTACTACAGGGATTGCAGTATGTGCATGTGATATTGAATGCTCAAAATTGATGGCGAGAAAGTGATGGACAGTCTTGCGAACCATCCAAAAGTATGCATTAATCGACGTCATTGCACATGGAACACACACACACACACACACACACACACACACACACACACACACGTCGTCTTGACGCAATGAAATTATTTGTCTTTGAATTGCAAATAAACACAATCGAACATTGTTCGTACACAATAAGCAAATGACATGCAGTGACATCACTTGGGCTCACACCAGTATAAGCAAAGGACACACTGTCATCAAAAAAGGGAAAAGCCTTCGAAGGCAATCACATTTCCAAGTTCCCACAAAAGTCATGTCGTACACAGATGCCAACCCGGCGCCCATACACGTAACCCGCCCCCCCCGCCCGCCCCCCTCCTCCCCCGCTTCGTCGTGCACCATCTTCACAACTACAAAACGCGCCTGTGACATGCAACCACGTCACCTTGCCTTCGACGACATCCACTAGCAGTGTTGAACAAACCAGCGCCGCCAGCATTGTGTGTGTGCCCACGCAGTCAAAAAATACACAAGGAAAAATAAAAAATAAAAAAAATCTACAACTTCTACCGCCACAAATGAAGACACCTACGCACAATAGTCGCGAGAAACGCGTCGTGCATGCGGACCCACAACGATGCTACCACGCCTCCAGTATACCACCAGAAAACAAAAGACGACAGCAGGAATGACGGGAACGTAGATGACACCCAGATGATGAACACAGCGCCTAACGACAATAGAAAAGCACATCCCAACGGCAGCAGACTGGAGAGCAACATTCTCGTGACGATACAGCACCGGCAGCTATGAAACCTTTTAAGCGCGCATCAGCGCGAGCGCACACGCTTAAGCGCGCGCTTAAAGACCCCCCTGCTGCGCTCAAACGCGCTCAAAGCAGTTTCGGGCGCGCGCGCTTGTCAAAAACAAAGCCCGCACATGCCATGGGGTTGCACGAGCGCAGGGGACGATGTGGGGTCATTTGCGCGCATAAAAAAAAAGGGTGGTCGGGGTGATTTTTTTTTTGGGGGGGGGGGGGGGTCGGGGGGGTTGTTGGGTTAGGGTTTTAGGTGAGKTGGGGTTTGSGGKGGGGTGGGGACCGTGGGGTCTCTCTCTCTCTCTCTCTCTCTCTCTCTCTCTCTCTCTCTCTCTCTCTCTCTCTCTGCTAATTATGAAGATAGGGCTCATTGAGCCTCTAGGTTTTCCTTTTTGGGTGGGGTAGGACAACTGGACTTGCCCTTTCCTTCTGCAAATCCCATGCAGAGGTGGACGAATTTGCAAGAAGGGTATAATTGCCCTGTGGTACTGTGTGGTCACGCTGGATGGCATAGGGCACACGTAATGGTTGGTGAGTCCAGCCAACCACCAATATATGCTGAAGTTTGGCATTCAGGTCTGCATGTCGGCAGTTATGGGTTAGGATGAAGATGCCCATAGCTCTCTCGTTTTTTCTTTTTGTTTTCTTCTGAATACGTACAGTGGCAGTGAAGATGCCTGTAGCTCTCTCGTTTTTTCCTTTTTGTATTCTTCTGAATACGTACAGCGGCCCAAGGGGCCTCTGGCGACTACTCACCACATCCACAAAAGACATACCATATGACGGTGTATGGTTCCATGTTTTAGCAGAAGATTCATTCAGATGTTATACATTCGGTGAGTACCATTGAGTGGTGGAGCTAGGCCCTGAGAATCACGTGGAGACACGAACAGGGTCTAGCTGAATTGGTGACCCATAACTTCCGCGCTACAGACCTGAACTCGACGCCACAGAATACATTGGTGGTCTGCTCCCACCTCTCTCATTGTGACGCGGCCACTCTGCTTGCTGAAGCAGCGGTACTCAAAGCCTCCACAATGTCTAAGTGCATTGTCGGAGTCATTTGAGTTACCTGCAGTGGGCCCTAAATTGACGAAAAGGGAACCCTTTGCTCTCTCTCTCTCTCTTTCTCTCTCTCTCTCGCAGTGTGCGCGCCTTCGTGCCTTTTTTTTTTTTTTGCAATCTGAACTCGGCCTCCGGCGCCGTCGGCAACAGGCCAGAAGGCCCAGAACCCTGGCCCCCACCGCTCCCCGCCGCCTGGGACCCCGCACACCCCGCCAACCACTCGGCACACCGCGAAACGCCCTCTCCGCGAAAGCGCTCGAGGCGCTCATGCCGCGCTCGAGCGCGGTTTTGAGCGGCGCTCAAAAACTCAAGCGCGGTCCCCGCGCTCAATAAGCGCGAGGTTTCACTGACCGGCAATGGATGGGGGAAGCTCTTCGGTGCCTCCCCTTCTTTCCCGCCGCAGAAGCTCTTCGGTGCCTCCCCGCTTCGGTCTGCTTCGTTCTTCCACCGCATGTGGGTGATCGTGGGGTCTCGACATGCACGCATGACCATCCTCACTATGCACTCGTAAGCCACGCCAGCGCGCCCCTCAAGATTAGCGCATCCCCCGTTGATAACTCCATGCACACCGGCCTCAATGGCTGATGTATCCCAAGATCAACTCTACGACGCAAGCCGTCCGGACTCACCTCCCATAGCAGATTGTCGTCAAACGGGATGCCTGCGTCGATCAATATGTTGTGAAGGATGCAGACGACGACAAATTGTTGCGCCAAGGTGTCCATGTTGCACGTGTGGGTGCGGAGGAACAACCTCCACATTCCCTTCAGTCTCCCAAACGCCCTCTCTACTGCTCCCCTCGCCGTCTTTTGTTTGTTGTCGACGTCTGCCTCATACGGGTGTTGCGAGAGACCGTCGTACGGGACGACTATCCACTCGGAGGGGGGATAACCATTGTCGCCCACCAAGTACCCGTTTGTCCGCACATCGAAAGGCAGCATGACAGGTGGCCCAGTGAAAAGCTCCCCTGCCTCCGCGCGCTGTCGCGCCCCCACTGCTCCAAAGGTCCGGTTAGATGTCCTTCCCCGGACCGAGCTCAGTGGGTTGGAGAACGGGAAGACTGTCACACAGGATTTTGATACGTATAAAAATAAAGGTGTATTCAGAGGCAGTCACACTTTGTCATACAGCCGAGTAGTCAGGGTTATCCCTCCTGCTAGCGGCAACACGGCTTAGAGTGAGGCATTCGGGTTTATCGCCTGCACCTGACCCCGTATAAAGGATAGACCCAAGGTCACCGGAGTCCCTATCATTCAGGAGTCCTTCAAGCTGCCTTAAGTGTAACCTGTATAAAATAAGGAGGAAAATAACAAACATGCATCATAGAGCATTTGACACTGACAAAATGAGAAGACCAGAAACCAGACTCTGCAAGAGCATGACCAGAGAAACGAGACTGAAGAGTAGTACATAATGCATGCAGGGAGCAGCCATCGGAGGGCTGCAGTCACTAATAAACAATAATGTCGTAATACATCATAGTGACTGAAAAGAGGGAACCTCAATCAATGATAATAAGCGGTACCCCCTCGTGAGTAAGTGTTGTCGTCTGGGACTCCATATCAGGCACCTCGTCATTGAGAACTCGCGTGGCTATCCACTCTGGAACCACGTAGCTGATGTCGAAAGCGCTGCTGCATCAATCTTGCAGATATAGGCCATGCATCTCGCCATCTCCTCGTCTGCAATGCTCCTGAGATAAAGCTCCTCCGCAAGGATAATGTTGCCTGTAGCTCCAATCAATATCTCAATCCGTCCTCTCCCACCAGAGTAGATGTAAGATACCTCGAGGAAACGTACTCCGTAAAGGGGTTTTCGATAAGCCTGCATAGGAAAGTCTGTCCCTACCAAATGACTATAGCCATCTCCGAGATATGGGACCGGACCCTTCCCTCTTGGGGGACCAATAACTGTCTCAGACCTAGGGTCGTTTGACATGTAGGAGTCAATCACCCTCAAGAAGATACCGTGCTAGAAGATACGCAATCCTCCTCAAAGTCGCTCTCCGTCGTCGTCGCTCGCCGGTCTCCAGCGCTCCTGTCACTGTCCACAAACTCAGCCTCTGTGACTGTCCCAGTCGAAATAGTCGCCCAGATCAATGTCATTCACAGAGCAGGGCTACAAGTCCGACTCATCTGTCTCTAATCTCTAGACCCATGTAGTGATTGGGACCCCGGATCTGGCTCTCTCTCTCCTAATCCGGTCGTCCTTCCGCCTCTTGTCSTTGCTGCGAGACTCACTAAGGGGCATGGGGTTGCACCCATCAAAATCGAAGAGCACGCCCCCAGGTGCTGAAGGTACGCGAGGGAACACCACATGTAGCCAGTTGTCCCTCCAATAACTCTCCCTGCGAAATATGTAATCAGCAATCCTGTCGTATGTGGTGCCCTTCACCCCCGTCTCTGCCCCCTTCACCGAGTAGGTGATCACGAGCGTGTGTCTCGAGGTCGAGGACTCATTGGCCCTGATAGTGAAACTCTGATGTCCCACATGTCTGTAGCAGAACCTCTCAATCAATCTACCCCACTTAGGGGTAGTCTCTCGACGACGGGCCAGCTTGGATAGAAAGCACACCCTCTCTAGAACGGGTACTGTCTCCAAGACTTGGCCGAATAGTAGTTAGCAACTCAATGTAAGTGCCCGCCTGAAAGGCCAGACTAAAACTGCAACTCAATATAGGGTCTGCCTGAATGGGCCCGGCTGAACAGCGACTCAGTATTGGGCCCGCCTGAATGGGCCCGGCTGAACAGTAACAATCTCCTGAAATGGGCCCGCCTGAAGGGTCTGGCTGAACTGCAGCAATCTCGATAGATGGGCCCTCTTGAAGGGTCTGGCAGAGCAGCAACCGA